GATTGCTAAAAGGCCCCCAAGAGTTTTGTTTTGTAATGCCAGGTTCCTCCCCCCTTTTTTTTTTACAATATTCTGTCCTCGGGGCTGATTTTTTTTTTTATCCGGTTTGAGCTTAATGAACGGTGAGCGAGGGGAAAGAGAGAGAGAGAGAGAGAGAGAGAGAGAGAGACAGAGAGAGAGACAGACAGACAGACAGACAGACAGACAGACAGATAGACAGACAGACAGACAGAGAGACAGACTATATAGAAATAGAGAGAGGAGTGTCAAGGGCAATCGATTATAGCGATACTTGAGTTGTCCTTCATTTGGGCGTAACTGTACGGCCAATGGAGCACACGCATTGCAGCTATATTTATCTACAGAGCAAACAGGGGCAGCCATGACAGTGCGCGGTTTTTGGCATACAAGGAGGCTGTGGTATAGACTCTTACAAAAACTTCCATCTGAGAAAAAAAAACAACCACTCGTTTCTATCAGCGCGCCGAGGGCGAGAAATGATAATTAGAAGTTAAGAAGAAGAAGAAGAAGAAGAAGAAGAAGAAGAAGAAGAAGAAGAAGAAGAAGCAACAACAACAACAACAACCGTCCATCAGAATAATGTACCTGGTAGGCTCCCCCGTAGGTGTTAAGCAGATTTAGGCGAAGCACATCAGACTGATGGGCCGGACCCACCACCGACTGTTGGAAAATGCTCTCGGGGTGGGAGATCTGGGGACGACCGACAGGGAAAAGATATGGTGAAATGGTACAAATTTAACGTCCCTAGCAACACTTTTAGATTATGTAAGAGGTGGGAGGGAACTCCGAGCCCATATCCGAACGGACAGAGCCAAGTAGGAAATTCGTGTGATTTGTCTTTCCCAAGGACACAACGTCGGATCGAGAAGCGAAACTTGCAATTGCTGCAAAACAGTTGTTATAGAGTAAAAATGGTACAAGATAAAAATTCCCCCCACCCCCTGAAGAAAAAAAAATCATTAAAAAAATGTAATGTCGATACAAAATAAAGTTGGCACGCAGTTAAGTTGACACGCACGAAGCATACTTAGAGTTGTGGCACGGTCAAGTTAAAACGAAGTAACACAAACTAAAGCTGAAACAGAATAAAGATAATTATTGTGAAGTTGTCAGAACATGATAATTTTGACTCAAAGTAGTGCTGTCACAATGTAGATTTTAACACGGGGTCCTAGAGGTTAACGTGTTCGCCTCCCATTCAAAGGTTGCGGGTTCGAATCCGAGTAGAGATCGAAAAAAAAGTTCTGTTCTCTAAAATTGTCTCCTTTCGCCTCCTTTCCTGCTCTCTTGCAATGTTCTGTCGTCTACTTTCGTCTCCACTTTCTGCCCCCACCCCCTCACCTCCTTTGCCCCCTCCTCTGGGCTTCTGATTCTTTCTGCAGCCTTTCTACTGCTACTCCTTGGCTCCTTACTGCTGTGTTTTAGCCACACCCCTGATCTCATAGTAGGAAAGATCTACACATAGCCAAGGGCGAAATATCTCGGAGGTCCCGTGTGCAAGTTGCGCACGTTAAAGATCCATTGGAGGTCTAAAATCAATAAGAGTAGACTTCGGCCGCCACCAGGGCAAAATTCAAAGGACCCTATACAGTTGAGAACGTCGGAAAGCACTTGCCGAACATTTTTTAAAACAAATTTGACACACAGGAAATTTGATAAAATGTAACACAAAATAAAGTTGACAAATAAAAAAAAGTATTGATGTAACATCGACACAAAGTAATTTTGTTTTTGTAAGCGTTTGGCGGCACTTGCAACATAATTAGGGCATATTAAGTGTCCAAGATTAGAGGTGTTACAAGAGAGTAACATACACAAAAAAGGAGGAAAGATTAGGACAACACTCTTTTGATAGGAAAGAAGGAGCAAACAAAATCACAGCACCCACCAACTTCCCATAAATATTTCTTGAGGACATTGTCATGCAACCTACTCCAAAGATAAAGAACTGACACAAAATAAAGTTATAGTGGACACAGTAAAGCTGACACAAAGAAACACAAAGGACAGTTGACACAAAGGACAACTGATGTACGTTTGTGTATATTATATTTGTTTATTTTGTTTGTTTTCTTGTTTGTCTACCGTTTGTTTATTTGTTTGTTTGTTCGTTTGTTCGTTGTCTGTCAGAATAAAAACAAGCATATCGATGAAAAAAAAAAGGATTTTTAGTTTTAGTTTTAGTAGAGGTTTTACGGCGCTCGCAACTGCATAAGGTCATATGAGCGCCAAAAGATTAGAGGTGTTACAAGAGAGTAACAAACATAAAAAAGAAGAAGGGGAGATAAGGATGATAGATGTTTGATAGGAAAGAAGAAGCAAACCACACCAGAGCAACCGCCAACCACCCACAAGGATTTTTAGTTCATGGTGGAAACAGTTATTCTGAAAAAAAAAGCAGAGGGAAAGGGAAAAAGGTAATAAAAGCAAAGTTTTTATAAAGTAAAGCTTTTTAGTTTTACTTAAAATGTTACAGCACTTGCAACATAAAACGGTCAAATAAAAGCCGGAGTTTAAGGGTGTGACAAGAGAGTGACAAGCACAAAAATGAAGGAGGAGAGATCAGGACGATAGATGTTTGATAGGAAAGAAGGAGCAAACCACACAAGAGCATCTGCCAAACACTCGCAAAGTAAAGCTGACAGAAAGTACACGACATGACACTTTTGTAAAACATTGGCTTCGCGAAAGAAATGGCAAAAACATTTACAAAAATTCATGAAAAAAAATCAATTACAAGATACAGACAAAAACAGTGGCAAAAACAATGACAAAACAACATTAAAAAAACAATGATGTCGCAAAACAATTATTACAAAACAAAGACCAAAAAAAAAAAAACCCAACAAAAAATTAACAAAAATGATGCCCAAACATTGGCAAAACATGACAAAAAAGGTGACAAAAAGAATGTCTAAAACAATGACGTAAAACAATGACCTAAAGCAACCCCTGGATTTATGGAGGCTGGCTGCTTCAGATACCTTGAGAAAAGAGACATTCTCCCCACTGAGCTGGTCCCACCAGTGCGCGTTAGGCAAAACGCACCAAGGACGAACACAACGGCAGAAACAATACCATTGACCAATACGAATAACAGAAAAGTCTAGATCTAGCGAATAAAGGAAGAACAGTGCAAAACAGGGTCAAAAACAATGACAAAAACAATAACAAGACATGGCAAAATACTAATAAAAACTGGCAAATACAAGACAAAAAATACCAACAAATACAATAGCAAAAATATGACAAATAATTGACAAAAACAATAGACAACCCCCCCCTTCAAAGAAGCACAAAAAACAACAACAAAACAACAACAACAACAACAACAACAACAACAACAACAACAACAACAACAACAGTCTTTAGAATTAAGACAATGATTCCAATCCAAACCGATGATTGGTGACCATGAATATTAGGGGAATCTCGTAGAAACAATCTTGAATCGTAGATCGAGCCTCTGCCTCAGATTAAGTAGAAAAAATGAGGTTCACTGTAAAGAGTAAATAAAACCTGACGCCATGATTATTTGCCAAGCGGAAGGCGATGGAAACTCACGCTAAACGGCTCAAAGAGCGAGACAACATTCTTCACGCTCGCAACATCTGACTCGGAATGGAAGCCG